CGAGGCGGAGCTGCAGCAGCTCCGGCAGGCCGCCAACGTGCGGGAGCGGCGGCGGATGCAGTCCATCAACGACGCCTTCGAGGGGCTGCGCTCGCACATCCCCACCCTGCCCTACGAGAAGCGGCTCTCCAAGGTGGACACGCTGCGCCTGGCCATCGGCTACATCAACTTCCTCAGCGAGCTGGTGCAGTCCGACCTGCCGCTGCGCAACGCCAGCAGCGAGAGCCCCAGCCAGCCCAAGAAAATCATCATCTGCCACCGCGGCACAAGTAAGTGGCGGCCCGCCCCGGCCCGGCCCGGCCCGGCCCGGCTCGGCGCTCCGCAGGAATGCCGGCCCCAGCAGTAACTCCCTGCCTTTCTCCCCCCTGTCCCCCAGGATCTCCCTCCCCGAGCGACCCCGACTACGGACTCCCCCCTCTGGCCGGTCACTCGCTCTCGTGGACTGACGAAAAGCAACTCAAGGAACAAAACATCATCCGGACAGCCAAAGTGTGGACCCCCGAGGACCCGCGGAAGGTGAACAACAAACCCTCCCTCAACGACATCGAGAACGAGCCCCCCTTCGACTTCGTGGCGTGAGGCCCCCGCCCCGCCCTGTACATGCTGTATGTAGAGACCTATATTGTAAATGTAATTTAAGATTCACACTCTAAGGGCAATCAACTTTATTTATCTATTTATTACGGTGTAGTGATAATGAGGTAGAAACCTTTGTTTTGAATATATAATTTATATAATTTATCCTGATCTTTTTAAGATATGCAATAGGTTTATTCCACCAGCACCTTTGGGGGGAGGGGAGGAATAATGCCAGAACCTGTGAAAATAATTTATTGCCGCACGTGGACTCTTCCTGTGTTTGTTAATAATAAACCCGGATCGTACCTTGCGGAGCAGTGTTATTTGTGGGAAGCGGCTGCCGAGAGCCCCGCCGCATCCCGAAGAAGCCCTGCAGTAAACGCCCGGCCCGCTCCCCGGGCCGGCGGGCTGAGCCCCGGGACCCTGCGGGGCCGGGACCATGCCCCAGCCGGCACCCTCCGCCCAGATGCCGGCCCCACTCTGCCCCATCGCCGGCTCGGGCTGCTCTTATACAGCCGGGGGGGGGCACTTTCCCCTTCTCTCCACCCCTTTTGACGTCCTCTCCCGAAGTGCTTCCAACTGATGTCTTTGTCTATCTCTAGGAGGTCTCCTCCTTTCAGTGCCTCTGCTCTGCTTGTGGTTTCCAGCTGAAAGACCCGAGTCCCCAAACATCAGCCTTGCAAGCGTGTGTGTCCCCCGCCGCTGCCTCCGACCCCCGGCCCAGCCGCCACGGGGATGGGCGCGCTAGCCGGAGCCGGACAAAGCTCTTCCCAAAACTGCCGGGGAGGGGGGGCCGGGCAGGCTTGGCCCCCGAGGGTGCGTGGCCGCAGCCGGGGCTCTGCCGGCTGCCCCCAGCCTTCCGCGGACCGCGCACCGCCCGTGCCTGGGAAA